GCCTACATTCTGAGTGAGAGTTGCTTTCGCTCGAGGTCAACATGTCATTGGGAGCTTTCGCTCAGGAATATGTGATCCGCTCCTTCTACATGTAAGAGCCCTCACATCTTTGTGAATAATATCCCGTCAGTAACTACGATTCATAGTCCAACCAATCTCTCGAAGAAGTCCAGTCCGGCGATTAAAGCGACGGTCATTACTATTTGTGAACGTATTCCTGAGTCATGCGACACAGCATGCTCTGCTGCTGAAATAGTTTTAAGTGCGATCGGAGTCCAACTAGCCATCTAGAACCAGAACTGGTAAAGATACTCTCCACGATCGCCGCTCAGGACCGGGTGGGGTTCGTACAGGGATGCTGTAATCCACATCCGGCCCTAGGGCGTCTGCTGAAATTCGTCCTCAAGCAAATATGGCATAAGGGTTTATTACGGGTAGAAAATAAAGTATTGGCTGTACGGGACATTCAGAGTTCCTACAACCCGAGGGCTCTTGTGGTGCTGTTACAGATATCAAACCCACCGTCACGATGAATTGCTTAAACAGTAATATGCCGGATATCGTCCTGGACGCGGTGACAAATACATCATCGATGCTCAAAGGACAATGCGCTCGGGAGGTAGAGCAGTCTGTGATTTTGACAAGACCTGCCTGCGCCTCCAATTGCGATATGTTAGACGACGGCCTCAATGGACGAAGGATACTGGATAACTTGACTGACCTCCAGCTGCTCTGACATTCAAGGTGTATGGGCTTTGCACGTAGTGCTCGGGCTTGGATAGAAAAACACTGGCTTAGGAATGAAATCGCCAAGCTTCTGTCTAACAGGGAAAAGCAAACAATCCTGATAGCATGCAGCTCCGTGTATGTCCGAGTGGTTCCCGCTCGCCCGTGCATGTCCAAAAGCTCAGCAACCCGGAGAGGAAGAGGAATCAAGATGACTCTATCAGACGTAGTTCTTGGGTCATGGGTCCTCTCAATCGTTTGGCCATCCGCGGTCTTGTCCATCGATTCGAAGCTGACTGGCTATTGTTAGTTGATTCGGGTAGAAATGACGGGACTTTTGCCTCACCTTCTCCATGCAAGCAGTCCCGACTAACAACCTCGCCAGTACGAAAATATGGCTCTAGCTAGACAAAGCATTGGCTTCTCCCGGTTTCTTAGGGGTTTCAGGCTCGAAAGACGCTAGATGCCATCTGACGACAACGATGGTCACCCACTGGACGCCAGGGATCCAAGCCGCAAGTAGGCCATTCTATGAGAGGGTTCAAATGCCGGGAGACAGACACTGCTATGCGCTCCATTGGGTCTGCATCAGGTAGGCATACCAACGCATGATCTGATGAACCAAATCGACTGGGAGAAGGTCGAGGTAGCGACTCGTCGATGCCACCAGTAGTCATGTGGAAGAAACAAAGCATAGATGGTATTGGTGTAGGGGAGGTCGAGCAGATAAGAGATTTGCTCGCTTTGCATTCGGGTGATGGGAATCTGACGGCGTCTTCCTGTGGTGAGACCCGAGTCAGCAAGTGTTGATTCAGTTGGACAAGGTG